GGTAGTAACGAAACACGCCGATAGAGGGCGAAAATTATTATTACGAGAAAAATATTTTATAGGCGTGTATATGAATTATTACACAAATATGTATAATCGAAAAAGTCGATTCTCAGAATTTCATTAGCGAGTAGACTGGCCAGTCGAACTTTTAGCAAAGTTTTGAAAAAAGTCTTAGCTGTAAACTTAGATAATGGCTATAACGCGATGACACCCTCTGATGCATTGTTTTAATTTGTATATAAGTAGATTGGAGTTTCGAGCTATTGAAGAGACACTTAGTTTTTACTCTGGGCTGGAAGTAAAAACGAAGGTGCTCTCTTCCCTCCTAATCAAATCTAAAATTAGACAAAAGCAATACAAAAACCGTTAAACGTGCGTTTATTCGTTAAATATTCGTTGATTACCGAATAATTTCTAACTCTTTTCCTTCTATTCTGTAGAATATTACTTTACCAGATGTTACACGTAATAGAGGAAAGGTACAGCAATCGGTCTCCCAATGATTTTACATTTTTGAAGCTAGGAGAGTTTGAAACGTCGAGAAATACAAAAACATTTCGTAGTTTTTTTCATGTGGGGGGCACGATTTTCTTTACTCGTTTAGATGGTTAATGATTCTTGTGCTTTTTGTCGAAAATCTGTGAATTTTTGCAGTGAGGTTTTAGTGTTAGGGGGATCGATGATATTGAATTTTGCTGGTTAAAGGTGAGGGGTGTGGAGAAAAAGGGGTCCTGTAAAATCTCGAGTAGGGAGTGACTTGATGACGATTTTACTCATTAACATTTATAAGTTTTTTTAATAAAACTTATCTCTGTTTTCAAAATTAAGCTATTTGCCATTTCATAGTAATTAAAATTATAAAAAGTTTTTAATAATAAAATATCATAACAGATGGCGTTACGAAACGATGCAGGGAAAGTTAAGCAACTGGTTGATGGATTTTATGGAAGGGATTGGGAAACGACGAATGTAAAATTATTGAGTTTGCTTTACGCCAATGTGTTTGTCAGAATGGAAAATTTCTAATTAAATAACTAGTAGGAATATCTATTGTATAAATTAGATGTTTGCATGTAAAAATTTATTTGTATAAAATCATTATGCGTTTTTAATATGAAAATGCAATAAATTTGAGTTATACGAATTAAATTATGAATATCTTGAAATTGGTATTGGAGAAACCAGTTGTTATTAATGTCTTTAATGCTTGATATTTTCACACAAGATACAAATGAGAAAGAAAATAAAAAATCAATTGACAGAATTGTTGTTGATTTGGTTAATAATTAAAAAAATGAAATTATTTAAACTAGGTTACTGAAATCAATAAATGCATATTATTTTTATTGCTGTTGATTTTTTAAATCTGGAGAATATAACAAAATTTGTATTGAGTCAATCACATAATGATATATTTTGACTTCAAACTATAAAACTATGAAACATAAATTATCTAATAAACAAGTTTTGGAATCATGATGCAAATTTATCTATTGTCAGATGGAATAATTGATTGTTTTTTTCATTGTATTTAAATAAACATTGGAATGAATTCAATGACTAAATGATACAATACTCAATTCAATACTCAATATTCTTTATTTAGCATTAATTGGTGCATTCTCAGCATTGTATGATACATAGCTGAGAGTTTTCTTGTACAGTTACATATTATAGTACATATTACATTACTTATATGATACATATAGTATTGCCTATATATTAATATTATGATGTTACATGGTGTTACATATATATTCGCGTAACATTGTATTTATACATATGTACAAATTTACTAAACAGAAATAAGCAGATATATTTATACATTTATACATATTTAAAATAAACAAAATAAAAGTACTTAACTTAATTAAAATCTAACTTAATTTAAATATTACAATCAGTCAGTTGTTTAGCCTGTTATTGAGTCCAGTATAACACTATTGACAACCATCGAAGTTCCTGTTATCAAGAGATTCTGTTGTACAAAATAATTTAACGAATAGTTAGCCTTGTGCACTTTAACAGTTCTTGCATTCAGCATCAGATGAGATGTTACAACACATTATCTTTTAGGAATTTCTAATATTCTGCATCGTATTGACAAACATCCTTTGACATTTGAACAGAAATCACTTGCTTCAGCTGTGATTGTCGCTTCTAGTTGCTGCCAAGTATCTCCGCTGGTATCCAATAGTATTATAGAAAACGTTTTTGCATATTGTTACTGTGATTTAAATTTTTTACATTTGTCACCATTTGTATTATTAACTTTGTTATAAAGTTAAAGTTCTTTATAACTTTGTGTTAATAACTTAATCCCATAGGTGTCTTCGTTTAATTTAATATGTGTTATGTCATTGTAACCAACTATCAACCACTATCATAGATACTATTAGACATCTAAAACCATACAGGAAACAGACAAATGCAGAAAACCAAACTATTTATCTAACCAAAATCATTATAAAGATAATAACACAAATTTGTTTTGTTCAGAGATATATATTTATGCTTTATTGATTTAGAAATAAACAAATAAAACAGAAAGTCCAAATTATGTACCAAATTATTCAACAACCTATGTTATGGTATTCATACTGAGGCAGTGTTTGCAAAAGGAATTCATTTAGAGATTTTCTTATTTTGAATTCTACGATTATATTTTTACTTAAGAGTTACAACAAGAACTATCCTAATATTACATGGGCAGAACAAACCTAGCTTCAAAACTCATGCTTTACTACCAACCAGAAATACCAGTGTCAAAATATATAACCAGTCTTATATAATAAAATGTTAAAAGTAAAAGGATTGTTAATCCCTAGTAGCGAGATTNATAGAATGATTAAAATGTTTTATATTTCTCATGGAAAATGTCTAATAGTCTCTTGGTTTCTATTGTTCCAGATAATTAGAATTCTATAAGAGAAGCAAAGAATAATGTATAAAATGATATGAAAGACCAATTTACTAAGTTTAATGTTTCTGCTTTTTTAAAATTTCTATATAAAGATCTTGTTTATTATTAATCTTCAAATTAGCATTAAATTCAAAATTTTGATATAATTAATGAAATTTTGAGGAAGAAAGCATTAGTATGTAGATTAGTAAAATTGCATCATTTGATTTATTAAATTTTTATATATACTTTCAGGAATTCTTCTAAGCTTTGTTGTGCATTTGTTTGAAAATGCAAAATAAAGAAACTGTGAACTGTTGGTGTTGGGTTTGAAGTTAATAATACAGATTCAGATTGTGAAAAAAGTTTTATGGAACATATTTTGGTATGTATGAGTATGAAATATGTTTTATATCATTGTTTGTGTGCTTTTAGAATTAAGGAGATGGTTGATTCATTAGAAAGGAGGAATTACTGGTATGTTCAGTTTTGTTATCAGTATGTTTATTTAATTTTGTACTTACATATAACTCTTAATAATTTTAGTTACTGATGTGGGGGACGTAAAATGCAAGTATGCTCAAAATGCATGTATGTAATCAACCAAAACAAAATAAACATAATTAAATTATAGTTTTGGATTATTGAATTATCGGAAGCTTATCTATACACCTGTAGATGCAGGATTATGAAACTTCTATGAATTTTGTAATTGAGTTTTATTGTATTTACTGCCTTAAATGTGATATATGAGTACAAAGAAATTTTGTACTTCATTTTAGTAGTCAGTTTATATATTTTTCAACATTTAGGCTACAAGTGTTGTTTGATAGGTGTTAAATTCCAATTTTAATTCAACTCAGTTTTATATTCGATGACTTCCTTATCTGGCAGGTATTGTTGGTTATCCGTAAGCTTAGTAACTTGAGTTTTATCTACTAACAGAAACAAATTTCATTGATTAATATTTGAAATTACAAATTTAATTATTCGTAAAGTTACCTAGTAAGGTTTTTCCTATAAATTTTTTAAAGGATGTTTTAAACAGATGTAATAATTACAAGAAAAGTAAACAAATATTATTATTTTATTATCATACTTGTTATCATTATTATAAATGTAAGAAAACTAAAATAAAAACTTACTGACATATAGGATACAGGATACAACATATGAAATAAAAGAAAAAGAAAAAAACTGGAATTGTTTTAATGCAATCATGTCGGATAATTTGAAATTTTCTGATAATTACATTAAGATGAATGCAGAAAAAAGCATTCATTTATTTCTGAACTTGAATAAGGGAATACAATTAGTTTTACTGTTTTAATGTTCTCTTTTATATTCTAAATTTAATGATTATTTGGTTTGCTTACTTTTAAAATGTATTTTTATTTTTTAATTAATTTCTACTTTAGAATGATTGTTAAATATGATCAAAAATATTTGTAATAAATATGTGCTGGAATCATTTTATAGTTTGTGTTTCAGCTAAGCAGATTTTGGTTATGTTTTTATTATTTATCAGCTATGTTTGTTGAATGTAATGTTAACAAGAGAAGTATTATATATATTTAGATGTTATAATTTATATAAAATTTTAAATCAGTTTTTTATTTCAGGTAAAATGCATTTCAGTAATTGTTTACATAACATTAAAAAATAGAAATGTGAATGGAAAACAGCCATAGGTATTTATATATATTTATATTATAATAATAAAAGTTTAAATAATTCATAATGAGAATTTATTGGAAATAATTGTTCATGTCTATTAGAGTATCTATTCCATGCATTATTTTTAATCCTATAATGGATATCAGTAAAATGGTACAATTTACATATAAGTAAAAATTCAAAGTACAGAACTGTGAATATAATTATGAATATTGAACTCTGACATAAATCACTACATGAAAACATTAAGTATTTTTATTAAAATATTTTATTTATTTATTTATTTTTTTGTATCTTTGTCTTTTTCTGATTATATGGGGTTGGTGTTTCCTTCTCTAATATGTTTCTCCATTTCTTTTTATTGAGGGCATCTTCTCTCTTAAGTTCCCTTTGATTAAAGTCTTTCTCCACCTTATTTTTTCAATGCAGGATTGGTCTTCTTTTTTTTTTACCATGAGCTTTTTGACCTTATTTCCAACATAATGTTCATATGTTCATGAGTTTGCTCTATGTGGCCAAACCACTTTAACCTGCATTCTTGCATCTTCCTGCTTAAAATTTATCTTTCAGTTTGCTGCTAACATTTTTGTCACATAACACATTGTTCAACTTCCTTTAGTTTAGCCATCCACATTGAATTCTATGTTGCACTTATGAGTTCAAACCTTCCTCTATTTGAACTTAGGCCTCTAGATACGTAAAACTTGAAACCACAGAAAGTGTCACATTTTGGATTTCAGTATTGCACTCCTCTCTACCATTCAGAGTCACATAATCTGTTTTTGTTCTGCTTAATTTCATAGATTTTTTTATCTTTTGTAGAAAATTATTAAAGTTTACATTATTACTACTTTATCATTAGGTGTTCATCTATATATATATGTAAAAATGGACGTGTATGTCCCTATATTTCACTATTTCGCCAAAACTACACATCGCACGTGAATGGTATTTGTATGTGGTAGTAGCCCCAAGTTTCTATTCGTTCACCAGGGTGGTTGCGTCTCGATAGCTATAAGGGTGCGGGAGATATGGGGCTGAAAGTGGTTGAAAGTGGCTTTCTATTTCAAATGTTTTGTTCGAATTTGTTCGAATTAAATTCGAACATAAAATTCGAATATTGGTTCGATTATAGAACGATTGTAAACGTTCCAGAAACGTTGAAAATAGTTCGTTTGACTAAACGTAAAAATTCTCTAATTAGTCTGGAAACGGGGGACCTAATTCTTGCATTCTGTGAAAACGG